CAGCTCCCAGAGCAGCTTTCTGCTCTGCACACGCGGTGAAATGTTGCGTGGAACTGGGAACCGGCTGCTTGAAAACCTGCTCTTGTTAAGGTGTCTCTAATTGGCGTTTAAACTGACTCCTTGAAACGATCTTTCCTTCACCCTTAGGGCATCATGTTGGTCTATGACATCACCAATGAAAAGTCTTTTGAAAATATTCGGAACTGGGTCAGGAACATTGAAGAGGTAATTCCTGTACTTACTGGAGGGTAAAGAGGATGTTTCTTCCTCTAAAAGTAGTTGAAACCTTCCAAGTCTCAGAATTGTTTCTTTTGAATGGGGGTGCTGAGGGGCACGTGGAAAATAAACAGGCTGAGGGTCTGTGGGAGCTCCTGGCAGGTCCTGGTGCTCAGAGTCTGGTTGTGCTGGCACAGGAGCTCCAGCCGTGGGGGCTGCAGCCCCTGAGGGATGAGGGGACTTAAAAGCTGGTGTTTTCCTGTCACAAGTGACCCTGTCACTGTGCAGGACATGCTGGGGTGAGGGGCCTGGGGGAGCACGTGGAGCTGCAGCCAGTGCTGGCAGCAGCAGCCGTGCTGAGCATCATCTTCTGGGAGTGTTTGTCTGGAGAGACCCAGGCCCAAGCCCTTCCTGTGCTCTGTCCCAGCACGCCTCTCCTGATGTTGAGAAAATGATCCTGGGGAACAAATGTGATGCAAATGACAAAAGACAAGTTTCCAGAGAGCAAGGGGAGAAGGTAAGTGTTGCAGCTTTACAATTTTTTAACTTGGACTTTTCAGAGTATCCAGCTTGTCTTTGTTATGGTCTATGTGCTGCACTGGTACCTTGGTGACCTTTCTGAGGGACATTCCCAGGCTGTGCCTGCAGCCCATTTCCCCACTGCTGAAAAGATGAGTCTGGGTTAAGAAGTATTGTTGATTATTGTTGGGTGCAAAGCAAGGAGCTGAGGACTTCTTAGAACAAGGAAGAAAAAGCATGTTGGAGCTGGACATGGAGGAATGTCTCTTTTTGGCTGAGAGCCAGGGAGACAAGGGAGACAGAGGTGTCTTTTCTGGCAGGAGATGTTGCTTAGTCAAGGTAGAGAAGGTGCTTCTCACTGCAGATGTTACAAGACAGACAAGGTATATGTGAAAAAAAAGTGCTAAAAGAGCAGAATAAAATGTGTGCAGGGTGTGAGAGAAGAACAAAGCCCTGTGGGAAGAGCTGCCAATGGGAATGAGATTAAGTGCCTGATTTCTGCAAGTTGTTCTGAGTAAGATCCCAGTCCCTGTGGGTGGCACCAGGAGGGGCAGAGCCTGCATGGTTGGTTGGATGGATGGGTCTTGTTCCTGCAATTATCCAACTAACATGAAACCTGCTTTTGTTCAGCTTGCTGCAAGTTTTGGGATTAAATTTATGGAGACCAGTGCAAAAGCAAATATAAACATAGAGAATGTAAGTACTGCAGCCTTTCCTTTCTATTGATTGTCTTGTTATTTGTGCACATAAGCCATGAGAAGACTGGCCCATCCTGCTTGGATATGAAACAGTTGATACTGCAGAGGGTTTTTAGATGCTTCACTGATAAAAGGGGCTGTTTTCCCACTCTGGAAAGCCTTGGATGTGCCCTGCAGTGAGCAGTGTGTGCCAGGGTGGGTTTCAGGCTCAGAAAGGAGGTGGTGGAGTTGAAAAAGAAACATTAAAACCTGGGCGGGGAAAACCTGTAGTTCTTCAGGAGTTCAGGAGTAAATGTAGAAACCGGGGAAGGCAGCTTATTGCTAAATAACAACATTGGAATATATTCTATTGAGCAGGTAACACTGCACTGTTTTACTTCTCCTAGGCATTTTTCACCCTTGCAAGAGATATCAAAGCAAAAATGGACAAGAAGTTGGTGAGTAACCTTTACTTTTTTCCATTGCTAAAGAGGAAGAAAACCTCCAGCCAAAAGCCAAACAGCAAATGCTGTTTCATGTTGTATAAAAACTGTTTTGTGGTCTCTTTCATGGGGGATGCACTGAAGGTTATAGAAATTTATTTTTAGTTTTGTCAAGCCATGCTCTGACCTTGGCTTATAAACAATTGTCTCAGCATTTCAGGAATTAGCTGCAAGGGTTGAGAATTTCTAAATGAAATGATCCCTTAGTTGCCTCATGGCATGTCAAGTGGGTTTAGAGCAGTTTAATGATAGTTCTTGCTTTTGCACTCTTAAAAAAATTAATCATATAAATTAGACCTATAGGAGGCCCACTTCATACTTCAGGGTAGTCTTCAAACTAGTATGTTTAAAAATAGGTAAAGGATTAGTTAGTTTTTTGATAACTTTTGCAAAAGTGGCCAGAAAAATGATGGGGTTGTTCTTTGTACAAGAAATAAAACATCCAGTGAGGTAATTTTGTTCCTTGGGAAATGAAGGTAGCAAAGTTTCCTTCTACTTTTCCTGAGCACCCCAGGTGTGCTGACAGAGCCCTGGTGTTTTGAGTCTTGCTGGCAATTCCAAAGTGTCCTGTAATGATTTTTTTTAATCTCAGCTGTCTTGGAGTTTATAGAAGGAGGAAGAACAGTGTCTGTTAGTGGAAGCCAGAAGGAGCAGATGTTCTGACTTCTTTTCATAGCTGACATAAGGCTCAAAACAAAAGAGTGCAGAGAATCTCTTGGGTTCACTGATGGTGTGTGTGTAGCTTGGTGCAAGGAACTGGATGGATGATGTGTGGATGTTGGATTTTACAGAGATGCTGGAAGCTGTGAAAGAGAAGTAAGTAACTTGAATATTCTTTGTGTCTTCAGGAAGGCAATAGCCCCCAGGGCAGCAACCAGGGAGTCAAAATCACCCCAGACCAGCAAAAGAAAAGCAGCTTTTTCCGTTGTGTTCTCCTGTGAGGGACATGGCCTTAACCTGAGCATCTGCTCAACCCAGCTGGACTGTGCCTGTTCTGAGTGAGACTTCCTCTGTCTGTGGACTTCATGTTTTCAGCAAACTTTTGTCACTTTGTGACCATCTGGATAAGAAATTGTTTATTTTAGTAATTGTCTGACTCTTCAGTTTTGGAGACGAAACAAGTTTATTTTTGTCAGATTGCCACTGGGCATGTGTGTTGTCTAGCAGAGGACAGGCCCAGGTGACCTGTGCTACAGCACCTTTGCTGACAGGCTTCAACCTCCCTGCTCCTGCCTGTGATGTGTCCCAGCTAGTGAGTTAGGATCAAAAGAAGAAACTTGACTGCCAATATTCATAAAGTACAGGTAGATGTGCATAGCCAGGTCTGTAGATGCAGATAGAACATCTGGCATCAGAACATCTAATACATGCACTTCCGTGAGCAGTTCAGGCTTATACCTTTCAGAAGGTAGAAAGAAGCTTTCTGCATCTCCACCTCTCTGCTACTAAGAGAAGATCCTTTACCTGCCTGTCCTGTATTCCGTTGTGTTGTTCTAGACAATCCACAAGAACAATTGAAGTTTAAAAAAAGAAACAAAATCCTTCTCAAAGGAATCTCTATTTTTGTAAAAAACCAAAGTGTGCTGTAAATACAATGAAACGTCAGCATCAGGAATTACTTTCTCCATGTTAGACTTGACTGTGGTTGATTAAATACTCCAGAATGTAGAGGTGTTTAACAGGGGATGATGACAGCAGCGAGTCCTGGGCAAATGTGACCTGTTCCTGGGGGAGCCAACCCTGGCTGGGCAGGGACAAGGACTCAGTGTCCCAGCTTTTACTTGAGAACGACTCCAGATCTGTCATGATGTAGTAGCTAGTTAGAAATCGTGACAAGAAAATGTATTGCACTGCTTCCAGTTGTGTGTTCCCATGCACACTTGCTCACTTATGCAAATAAATGTTGCACAGACGAACACTTTCTGAAGACAGACTCTTCCAGGAGGAGCTTTGCCCTGCTGCTGGGCACCCGGCGCTTGGGATTTCGAGCAGCACCAAGTTGTTTGTAACCTGCACCAATGCAATGATGGTTGGGCCTCTGGAAAGAGTCCATGTATTTATTCCTAGAAACACAGTCTAGTACATTCCGATGTATAAAATGTAAGGGCCAAGTGAAGCTCCTAGGTAGCTAATTGCTGTGAGCCTGACTTAATTAGACTGACAGGAGCCAGTAAGAGCCACCTACTTCAGAGTCTGCTGTGGAGTGGTGGGAGTGAGGGTGTGTTTCCTGCAGATGAACCTCTCAGCTGTGCCCTGCAACTCACTGGAATTGTTAACATGCTTTGTTTACATTGACAACTGCACTTAAGGGTAAAATTAAAGTTGATTTTAAAGTTAATGGATTTACTCACCAGTTTTGTTTTCTTCAAGTTTGTGGTATTGTGGCCTCAAAGCAGCACTCCTAAGTGTTACTGTAGTTAAGAGATCTATCAGAGTCATACTTAAACTTTCTAAATCTGCAGCATGCAATTGGGCTCACCAGGAACACTGTCTGGTTTTCTAAAATGGAAAAAGGAAATTTTACTGTGTAAGTTACTGAGTTATAAAAATGCATTTAATATGCTAATGACCTTTTTATTTTTTTAATAGCCAGCAGATTATGATGAGCTCTGTTCATGATTAAAGTGACATGTCAAGCTTTCCTCTAACCAGAACCTTACGATGGGGTTTTTTGTTTGTTTACTTGTGGCTTTTTAGGGTGAAAAGGCACCATAGGGGGTTACACACAGATCTGTTTGTAGGAAAAAGTCATGGTGAGCTACTGAAGAGCCTTCTAGTCAGCACATGCCTCCAAGTGCAGTTACATCAAGCAGTGCTCCTGTGGTGAGAGAAAGCCTTTGTGTGCCTCAAGAAATGAGTGAGGCAGAGTTGGGGAGGTGATAGAGGCACAGGCTGAAGGTTGTTGTCCTGCACAAAACTGATCTGTTCATGGCTTGGCAGTAAATACGGCTTGTCTTCCATCCATCCTTCTCCTTTACTCTAGCCAGGTGTTGCAGCCACAGATATTTTTCAAAGTGACTGGAAAAATAGGTGGTTGATTTAACTTGATCATGGATTGTTTGCCATGGTACTGGGTGCTGCTCATTAGGAGCATCTAAATTGATGATGAGAGAGAGAAAACTGTATTAATTTACAAAGGGATAAAACTTGAAGGATGGAATTGTGGCTTTCACTCCTTATGTTCTAAATGTGAAGTTAGTCTCTTGCATTCAGAGCAGACTCTTTGTATGTGAAGCCCTTTTGTTGAAACTTACTCTGGTCGTTGCACACGTTTATGTCCCTGATTTATAGCATGATTTCCTGCTACAAAATGATTGGTTTTAGTCCATGAACAACTCCATTATTGTCAACTTTCAGGAAGTTTCATACAGTTCCTATGACTACAGACTGTACTTGTAGGCTATGCAGACACAGGAATCAAATCAATAAGCAATATGAAACCTAAAATAAAATGTAGGACAGGAAAAGGTGGCAGACACTGCAGCTGCAGGTATGCTTGGCTCTGTGTTGCTAGATACAGACATCAGGTCTTGGGGAAGTACAATATGTAGCTGATGTTTCCATCACATAATTAAATGACTGTGGTTTTAAAATGGGAATGTTGTGAAAAACAGTGATCAAAGAGGTACTGTGTAAATGCATAGAGGAATATATTTATACCTAAGCTTTCTTTAAGAAATCTGTGATTGGATACAAGATTTCTAAAACAGGAATGTAGGTAGATAGGAAAAACTACCTGTGCTTGCTACACGTTTTTGGTGTCTAAATGCCATTAAAATTCAGGTAATCCATTAACAACTTGGTTTGTAGAGAAACAAACCCATTTTTGAGCATGGTCTCAAATTCCCTTACTGTAATGAGGATCACAGAATTCTGTGGTTGGCCATATTTTTGAGGCTGGTTGCAATATTTCAGAGTCTTCACCCCTTCAGGTGCAGACCTGCCAGCAGCTGGTCTATCTCCAAATGGTGGAACTGTTGTTGTGACATTTGGTGTTTGAACACTGACAGGCACATGGAATGTTCCTTGACATCACAGCCTCATGCCAGCATCAGACTTTCAGCCTCAGATTTATAAATCCTATGGATTATTGTAAGTCTCTGTACTGCTGCTGAAAACTATCTGGTCTCTCCTTTGGTGTGAGATGCTGATCATCTCACTGGCAGTTGTTAAGGGTTGGACTGGGGGCTGGTGCTTGTGCTCCAAAGCTACCATGATTTCTTGTTCTCTTGGATTTGAAATGGCTGGGGGCTTATGCTGGAGAGGACATGGACAAACAGCTGCCTGGAGGATATCTCCATTTGTACCAGAGGTTCCTAGGGGCTGGGAGGAATGACAGAGCTCTGTCCTCATGGATAGATTAAATAAAGGTCTGTTCACCTGAACCTTGATGGTAACGAGCAGTCTGATTATTCCAGGCTGCCTCATCACTTGACCCAGCTGCCACTGTTCATAGGGGTGACTGTTTCTGCAGGTGACTCCAGCTCAGTGGGATTCCAGCCCTTCTGCAGGAATCACCTGCTCCATGGTGAGCTGGGACTTGGGACTTTGTTTTGAAGGGAACTTAATGGATCCCAGTATTTTTCAAAATCACTGTAAGCTGTTTTTAGAATGACCACTTTTGGTTGCCACCCTTCCCACATTGCAACTGCTTTCTTAAACACTTCTCATTGATTTTCATGTTTGTATTAAAAACAGAACTGGTGTTTCTTATACAGTATGTATGTTTTTACTCTGTTGTACAGGCCCCTGAGCACTGCATAAATAAACTTCTTATGAAAAGAGAAATTTACAAACTTAGTTTGTCAGCCCTGTTCTATTTGTGCATAGAGATTCTTGTGTGGAAAAAAGAGGGTGTTTCTCAAAATGGAAAAGGGGGACAGGAAACCTGGGATAGACTCTTCTGTCCTTTAAAGTATTTTGGATTTAATTAGAAATTCTAAAATGGAAAGCTTTTCTCTGCATTCTTCTCAGAAGCTGTAGTGGGTTTCTGTGACACACTGGGGGAATACTTGAGCAAATTGAGTCACTGACTGTTAAGACTCTTCAAGCTGATCAGATAAGTTAGTTGCACAATTTAGTTTCAAAAACATTATGGTTAACCCATTTGCAAGGTTGTTTTCTACTGGATAAGGTATTTTCTTTAGAATTGGTTTCAAAGCTATAATTTGATACAAGTTTCTTGACTACCTGGTGGTGTCTGAACTTTAAAAACCTATTTTCCATCTCACTGGCTAGGCCAGATTTGCTCTAGTTTGTGGGAGGGAATAGACATTTTGTTAAATTCCAGGGAAATACTGATGAAAAGCTTAAGGAAGGGTTTCTTTTTAAAGAGGTAAACAAGAGACAGAGTTCTCTGAGGCAGTTACCAGAAATTGTCCTCTTTGCTCCTCTCATTTTGCTCTCATGGATGGTAACCTCAGGTGAAGAAGTAGGTCTTGAGGGTTCAAGAAGCATCTTTTGTCTGTATCTTTCATTGGTCTCAGATTCGAATGTGAAACGTGCTATTAAAAGAGGAAGGAATGGTCACTAGTGTGTCCCTCTGCCCAAAAGACTCACTACAATTAATCCTAGGACTCTACAATAAATTGGAAATACTATTTTGCAAATAATAGATACATGAAATAAATGCAAGATTTGGTGTGCTGCTTTGTGCAAGGTGGGTCAGAAAGCACATTCAGACTGAGGGAGCTAATGGACCCTTCAGGGCTAACATTAACTTTTCAATTTGCTAGGACTTTTGACTTGCTTTTTGTACTTTTTACATGACAAGGAAGCTTCCACACTTTGTCAAGCCTCTGTTTTCTGAGTCTCTGCAGTGGGCAGCTCTACTAGAAACTGTCAAGGAAGACCAGTGAGCTGGAATGATTGAGGAAAAAAGTACAACACTCCACAGACTTCTGACCAAAAAAACTAAGAGCAATTTTGTGTTAGAAATTAAAAGCAAATATTACCTGAGGAAATCTGGAGCCCGTGTTATCATGTGCTGGAAGTCTTCCAAAGACAGCTTGCCATCATTGTCTGCATCAGCTTCATAGATCACCTTCTCACAGACCAGGCTAACTTCTTCTGGGGTAAGTTCATTCCGGGTTAATTTGTTAACAGTTTTCTCTAGGTCTGATTTGCATATGTAATCATCGTTGTTAAAATCTGTCAAAGGAAGCACAATTCAAAGTGACAAAAGTCAGCATTTTATATGGTTGACTGCCAAGTCCTAATAGGAAGGGTTTGGTTCCCAGGCCATAATTCTTTTGTATAAATAGAACTTTCAAATCAGAAGTGAAGCCTTGCAGTTATGCTTGTATAAAAATT